GATTAAAAACATCAATGTCAAAAATTCCCATACGTATTGGGAAGAACTGCATGTTAAAATAAGTATGTTAGTGAAAATAATATCCAATATTATCTGATATTAGGGAAAGTTAGTCTCAGAAATGTGATTCACAGATTTAAAAAATCAATGTCAAAAATTCCCATACGCATTGGGAAGAATTGCGTGTTAAAATAAATATGTTAGTGAAAATAATATTCAATATTATCTTATATTAGGGAAAGTTAGTCTCAGAAATGTGAATATTAGGCAAGATTTCTCACAAAAATGTATGTATGAGAAATAGGCACAAAAATGCATAAACATTTTCACATAGATTTAAAAAATCAATGTCAAAAATTCCCATACGCATTGGGAAGAATTGCGTGTTAAAATAAATATGTTAGTGAAAATAATATTCAATATTATCTTATATTAGGGAAAGTTAGTCTCAGAAATGTGAATATTAGGCAAGATTTCTCACAAAAATGTATGTATGAGAAATAGGCACAAAAATGCATAAACATTTTCACATAGACTTTAAAAATTTGCAGATGGTTGCAATGGATTTTTAAGACTGAAGGAATAAGAAACTAAAGATGGTTGGATATGAGAAGCTAAAAGCAAGGCAAATTCGTCCATCCCAGTGTGTCCACAGATGAGGACAGCAGCCATGCTTGGCTGTAGGATTGTGGGAACTGGTAATCCAAAAGAGTAATGCTTTCGATCTACATGTCAGCCTTAGTCTGTCTGAGGTTTCTTGCCCCCTGCTTCCCACCACTTGCCTGTTCATGTTTGTGTTCTCTGCCTTTCATGTTCTTGAGCAAGAGAAAGAGAAAACAGCCCCCCCCTTCCCACCAAACTACAGTACTATTATGGCAAAAAAAGCCTTTCTGAAGAAATCAAATTGTATTTATTTTAAAAAGCTTCTATCCCTCCTATTTTCCAAGAAAAGGAACTTAATGAGGCAAATGAATACTCTTGTATTTAAAGCAACAGGCTAGTATCCTGCTGACAGAATTTGAAGCTGTTAACAAGCCACTGTATGAGCAGTTCTAACATTAGAAGAGCTGCGTAAGCCCATGTCAGCAGTGGATTTAATTGTGTATCACAACTGCACTGCACAATGCTCTGCTCTCCCATAATGTTGTCTCCTGTTCCATGTGCATACAGTTTTGCTGTGCAATTGTGAACAGGATGCTAGCCCTGATATTTAAAAACACAAAATTACCCAAAACAAAAGGTAATTGTTAAGTTTATAAAAATAGGATTTAAAATCTAAGGGTAAAACACATTCAAATATAACATTAAACAAAATGTTGACCATTTCAAGGGCAAATATAACATTAAACAAAATGTTGACCAAAGACACTGAACAAATGGCAACATCTGCAGAATGTTTTTGCAAACACTATGTTTTTATCGATAAATGTTTGTCTTTTTACAAATGTTTTTATATTAAAGACAAGAATGTACGGTATTGGGGCCTGACAACTCTATACTGGCAAAATGTTCTGGGAACAACCACCAAGAAGGTCTATATTTTGTAGCTGAATCAGAACACATGAGAAGGAAAAGTTGGTCGTTAAGTTAACCAGGCCCCAAATCAGTATGCTCTGCCTTAAGCAACCCTCTGTGGTTCTGCTTACTGAACATGTGACTACACAGCAGGAAAAATGTGAAGTGATCCACAGTGATTTTGTACCCAGAAAACTGGGCTTCCCAGGTAAATTTGCTTTTAGTCAATCACATGGGAGTCAGCAGACAAACAAGAGGAAACTACCAATATGCTCTTGCTAACACCTTGGAGGTACAACTGGAGCTACGTTAGCAAGCTGCAAACAAGAGATGGCTGCAATTCCCTCCTCTCTGATTTCTGTGTGGTCAGCTAAGGGAACAGACTTCTACTAATTGTTCTTGTAAACAAGCGTTGATTGCTTATCCCCTCCTGCCTCTCTCTCTCTCTCTCTCAGTCTCCTAAGTGCTCTAATGCAGTGGTTCTCAAACTGGGGTCCCCAAATGTTCTTGGACTGCAACTCCCAGAAATCTTGGACAACGCAGCAAGTGGTGAAGGCTTCTGGGAACTGCAGTCCAAGAACATTTGGAGACCCCAGTTTGAGAACCACCAACACTGACATTAAACCCTTTAAAAATCAATAATTAAACAGTAGTTTGGATACAAGAGTGTTTGGTTGAGGAAAACTGAAACCTCCATGAGTGCACTTCTGCCCCCTCTCTCCCTACCTTTAACTAGGAAACTGAGAGAGGCAGCTTCTGGTCGTCCATTCAGCCATGAAGCTGCATCAGCTCAAGTGAGCACATGATCTGCACTGATGCAAATGCATGTGATTTGGGAGGTGGGGGAGTAGAAGCCCTAGCTGTGGAGGAAAAAAGTTTGGATTGAGGGAGGAACCTCAGGGCTGATCCGCATTAACTTGTACATGATTTTCCATTGACTGTATCATCAAACAATACAAATCTGACCAACCATCATTTTAGATGGCTTCCCCAAGTCCTCTCATCACCTGCTCCTTCTTCCCTCTATTTACCTGGTAGAGTCCATGATCTAGAAGTATAATATGTGTCTTGCCTGTGGTTGGACACTTCCTCACCAGCACATTGCCAGGGTGTGGGTCACAGTGCACAAAGCCATTGACAAAGATCATTTCACTATATATTTTCCCCAGGTTGCGAGAGATCTAAGATGAGAAAAAAGAAAGTCACAGTATGAGACATAGCTCTGGCAAGCAAAAGGATAACAGCATGAGCCGGGGAATAATCACTTGGAAAAGAAACACATGCAACCTGCTGGTGTGGCAGAGAAGCAACAAAGGTCACAACCGTCTGATGGCTCCAAAGAGGAGAAATTATGAACATGTTCACTTGAGGATTTAACATGGGCACGAGTGCATAAGAAGAATGTTTGAAATGGTTCTTCAAGGCTTGTTTGTTGCATACAGCTGAAGCTAATCTGGAGAAAAGTACTAGGGAACTCTGGAGGTGGAATAAGAATTTTGATAAAGCAAACTGAAATGCCCAAGACATTACATCCATCATGCATGGGTAAATTTGGATTAATCTGATTCAAAAGAGAGCTGTAGTATATCCCTGTCTATTATCTATGAAGATTCTCAGTCATCCATATGAGGTTATCTGCAAGTTGAGTCATGGCAACTGGACTTCTTATTACAGTAGGTTGAAACGTTTCACTACTCATCCAAGTAGCTTCTTCAGTCTGAGGAGCGTTAGTAGGAGATCCCTGATACATCCTCCAGATTCGTTTCACTTCCACCTGTTCTGAACAAGCTTGTTAGAAGGACAAAGGACTGGGGGTGAAGGATAATCCCGCTTCTGCAGTTCTTCTCCACCCATTGTCATGGGTCATTAATAGAGATGGGGATGAAGCACCAAAATGTGCTCCTGATCTTTCTGGGGACAGATGAAAAGGCAGCATGATAAATAGGAGAGAAATTGTATGGCTTTAGATACTGTTTAAGAATGCTGTGTTATCTTTGACACAGTAAATATAAGAGGTGTGCAGATCTGTGTTGGGGAATCCTGGGAGTCATGGTCCAAATATAAACTTTAGCACACCTCTTTCATACCTCCCCAAAAAGATCAGGACCACACACACCAGAAAGACCATGTTAATGATCGTTAACAACCCATGACAATGGGTGGAGAAGGACTGCAGAAGTGGGATTATCCCTCACCCCCAGTCCTTTGTCCTTCTAACAAGCCTATTCAGACCAGAAGGATATATCAGGGATCTCCTCCCAACTTTCCTCATACTGAAGACGCTACCCTGTTTCCCCAAAAATAAGACCTAACCTGAAAATAAGCCCTAGTAGGATTTTTCAGGATGTTCATAATATAAGCCCTATCCCACCCAAAAAAAATCCAGTTAAGTGAAACCCCACCCTCCACCATTATGCAGCATCCAGATGATGACATGGCTGTATTTGAATAAATGTAGATAAATGTACATGAAAAAAATTATAAAGCATCCCCTGAAAATAAGCCCTAATGCGTTTTTGGGAGCTAAAATTAATATAAGACCCTGTCTTATTTTTGGGTAGACACGGTACTTGGATGAGTAGCAAACCATTTCAGCCTAATAAGAAAGAAGTTGCCATGACTCAACTTCCAGATCCCTATCTACTCTAGAGTACATAGCCCCAAATCCTTCTGGTAGTCCCAGCCTCGAATAGATCCATTGAGTCAGTTGCCAAGTGGCACATTAACATTTACATAAATCCAGTTGATTCAGTGCATCTAGCAATAGTACTCTGGCCATACTGTTTAAGAGTATGTCCCCTCCAAAAAAATGAACGTTTAGATATCGTGTTTCCCCAAAAATAAGACAGGGTCATATTAATTTTTGCTCCAAAAAACGTGTTAGGGCTTATTATCAGGGTTTTTTATTTTATTTTACAGTCATGTCATCTTCTTCTGGTTGCTGCGCAATAGTGGAGGGCGGGGGTTCACTTAACTGGGGCTTATTTTGGGGGTAGGGCTTATATTGCAAGCATCCTGAAAAATTATACTAGGGCTTATTTTCAGGTTAGGTCTTATTTTTGGGGAAACAGGGTATATAGGTTATACAAATATGTCCATGTGTCAGTCAATGTTTCAGCAGATGTGTGTCAAAGGAGAAAAAAAGTATTTCTAAATGTTTAAGAATGCTGTGTTAACTTTGACACAGAGTAAATATTAGAGGTGTGCAGATCTGTGTTGGGGCATTCTGGGAGTCATGATCCAAACATAAACTTTAGCACATCTCTAGTACGAGTAAATATAATTCATACATCATGCAATGCAGGAAACTCTTTTTAACTGAAACTGTGATCTCATGATGTATGCTAATTTCAAGTGAATGATTTGGTGGGTGCAGATTTTTCCATTGTAGCTGACATTTTAAAGATATACTTTATTGCTTGCAGGCATAGTTTTTCACCTTCAGAATTCGTGGCAGAATAGTATGGTATGAAACATGTGGGACTGCCACTGGAAACAACAGTAGGTGCAAAGAAAGGTACACCACAGATTTAAAGATAAGAGTACGTTTTATTACATGCCAAGAAGAGGGGGAGAAAATGGAAGACAGGTCTGGTAATCCCAGTAGTGGCCATGTATCCATCTTCATGTGCAATTCCACAGTCACAGCCTATTATGTTCCAGCACGGCTGAACATATTTAAGAAGCTATTAGTCTTGTGTGAGAGTGGCCATATTTTCCCCCTTCTAGTATGTATGAGAATCTAGCTGTTCCTTCTTTGCTCAGATCGTATCACCCTCCACACCTCCTTGCTCAGTTGGATGTTAATCTGATTTATGATGTCTGCAAAGATAAAGTGACACCATGAGGCTGTTTAAATCATGCTGTCTCTGCTAGTGATCCCTCTGCATCAAACCTTTTCCCTGATCACATCCTTATCACTGCAGCATTTTAGTAAAATTGAAAGCCTGCTCAAAGTCAGTAAACAGCTGTGAAGCACTGCTTCTCACTTGCATAGCTTGGGCACATGTGGGCCCCTCTCTCATGCACAGAAGCCTGCATGCAACAGAAGCCTGTATGCAAGCACACACCAACGGCTGCTTGCAGGCTCCTTCCCCAGCAAGATATAAACAGCCCCACAGCAGGCTGTCCAAGAGGCAATTAAAAGGCAATTATTATAAATGATCCTTGACACACCACCAAATACAAATATAAGCAACCAACGATAAAACTGTATTGGGAAAGGAATGGAAATTCTGCAAAGGCAATAGCCAGGAACCATATGGCCCATATTATTGTAAGGAAGACAGATTCTAGAACACATTACAAAGATCTCTGCACCAAGCAAGCATGCACACATTCCCAGCCTGTTTCACATACATGAGCGGTATCAGTGCCAGAAACACTGGAACTGCCCGAAGATTGTGGTCAGTAGGACATATTTTATGTACCATATTTCTATACTCTTCAACAGCCAAAGCCCTTTGGCCAATTCACAATATAAAACCATGCAGTCTAAAAACATAATGAAACTGTGAAGAAATCCTAAATGCAATGAACAGTTAGATGCGAGTAAATGCTGAGAGCCAAATCTGATGCATCTTAGTGGTGTCCTATGAAGCTGATGGGAGGGGGGCTTGCTAACGGTCCCAGCTAGCGAGGAATGTTAACAATTCCCCAGGGAGGGCCCTCCGGTTAGCATAAGATAGGGAGTTAGTCAAAGATCACCCAGAACCCCACCTGAAAAAGAGAACTGTATATTGGCCATAACTCAGTGCTGCATTCGGATGAGAAATCAAAGTGGGTTTGTGCTGAACCATTTGTCTTCTGAAAGTTTCTGAGGGAGTCCAACAGAGGTTGGCTGATGTATGTCATCTGTGTGTGTGTGTCACGGAGTATAAGAATTCTGTGTCTTGAGTTTCAGCTTATTACGTTGATGGATTAGCACTCTGTATGAGCTCAGAAACCTATCTCTATCTATTCTTAGGTCCCCCGAGTAAGTAGAATGATCTAGTTAGTTTTCTTATTTTGTTTGTGTGGTGATCTTGACCTTTATTTACTTTAACTTACACCTTGTTCTACCTAATGTGATTGCATTACTCCACTGAAAGGATTTTTTAAATATAAGCTGGCTTTTTCTATTAATTGATTAAAATTCTCCCACATTGTATTATTTTTTTCAGAGTGTGGTGGGGAACAACGTCATCCTAAGTCTAGTCTTGAACACTCGGGGCACTGACAGGTATGCTACCAGATTCACTACCAGGCAAAATTGACTTTTGGTCTTCTTTGTAAGACTGGAAGAGGTCACCCTGTGGAAGGAGTAGCAACTGCCAATAGACTTAGGCTTCTAGTACAGAGCCAGGTTTGGCTAGCTTGGGCTTGGGGGGACCTAGTGTATGTGTGTAACAATTCTGGAAAAATACCTCTAAAAGCTGTCAAATGCCTTAAAAGAAACTTTCAAAAGTAGCCGTTACTTGTTGTGCGCGTGTGTGCCATCAAGTTGATTCCAACTTGTGATGCCTCTTTTCCGAGTTTTCTAGGTTGAGAATACACAGAAGTGGTTTACTATCCCCTTCTTCTGGAGTCATCCTGGGACTGCGCAGTTTGCCCGTGACAACACAGTCTGGCGCATTTTCTGGAACACCCAATGGGAAACTGAACTCTCACCCTCTGGCTCTGCAGCCAGATATCTAAATCACTGAGCTATTTAGCCAGATATCTTTATTACTTTTCAGTCTGTAAAACAGGTTGCTTATCTGTAATGTTCTGAGTAGTGCATTTATATGGGCCACATGCTTTTTAAATAAAGAGAATTTTGGAAGTAGCTGTACCCCTCCTGTCTACATCACACCCATCAGAAGGATGACTTTCCATTCAAAATTTCGGACAAGACAGAGGGAACATACACAAGTCAACTGCAGACAGAAAAGGAAGTATGGATCATACGAATGCACAGATGACCACTGAAAGAACAAATGTTATAGGTAAAGAATGTTTCCTCCTTCTTTGTAGTCTCTCTGCATCAATGAATGAGTAAAGAGTAGCAAGTTCACTTGCAGAAAACTCCGGAAGGTCGCCACGTCAGCATTTGCAATCACTGAAGCTTGGTGGAGATAATTCCTCTCCCGAAAGAAGCATCCCTCTGAGATCTGGTGTCAAGGTGACTGTGTTGGACAAAAGTTGATGGTTGTGACCAGGA